ATATTTAATAAGCATGCTATTACAATTAACTCTGTAATTTAAGAGAAATATTATCTTTAAAAGTTTTAAAACGTTCTGAAGAAGCAAATGTCTTGTTGTCCACTCAATCTTCTTTACCTATATCCAATGAAAAGTGACTGGCAAGTAAAAACAGCATACGAACATGCTCACATTTGTTAATGATCCTTCATAAAATCAAGTATTAACTAATTCATATTTTATTGAATGACTTTTTCATAAGAAGATATAAGGTAATGAAAATCAAGAAAAGTAAATTTCAGTAAAAAAAAACAAAGTAGATATTATTAATTATAAATTATAAATTATAAATGTAAAATTTAAGTTCAACACATAACTCAAATTACTACGCTACATAGGTATAACTGCATTTTTAATGAGTTAATGGTCTGTAGTTTAAGTGGAGCTACATACCCAAAATTTGGGGAGTGTTCCCACCATTCCCTGTGCTCACTGTGCCTAAACTGTACAAACCATACGGTTTATGCTGAACACCTGTTTTCCTTCTTGGAGTCTGAGATTTTGGTACATGCTAGGCAGAGGCTGCCCATGTGACCAATTCCCAGTAAAAACTCTGAGTCTCTAATGAGTTTCCCTGGTGAACAACATTTTGGACGTGTTGTCACAACTCATTGCCGGAAGAATTAATAGCATCCTGGGTGACTTTACTGGGAGAAGACTAAGGAAAGCCTGCGCCTGGTGTCCTCTGGACGTCATCCCACGTGCCTTTTCCCTTTGCTGGATTTGCTTGTATCCTTTTGCTGGAATAAATCTTAGCCATGAGTATGACTATGTGCTGAGTCCTATGAGTCTGCCTAGCAAATTACCAAACCCAGAGCTGGTCTTGGGGCCCGACACAGTCCAGTGGAGGTCCAAAGGGGAGAGAGTGGGTGTTATATATCTCTTTATATTTCTTAGAGTACATATGTAATATACACAACAGATATTATCACATTTGGTGACTGTATATATTATCCTCCTAACACATCCAAACCAGTCTTAATGTTATAGCTCCGCTTCAGTGTTAGTTAACATTGGTGAACTGATTAAATGGCAAAAATATACGTGGTAATGGCACAACTGAAACAACAAATGAAATTTTTCAGCAGGTCAAGTAACACAGCCAGAGAGAAGATTAATTACTTTTACCATTTATAGTCTCTAATCGTTTTAATGATTTTTGATAGTTCTCTGCCTGCAGATCTCTGAAAGACTGTCCTAAGCATTCTTAATTTGATTTTGTCTATTCACCTATCTTTGGAATTTAGCAAAATGTAACATAACTTCAGTTGTGTCTGACAGACAGAAAAGGGTAGGCACTTTATCAAGTTTGTGTTATTTAGCTCCCTGATGTTTCCTTGTATTGTATCAAGCAAACAATCCTTGCTTCCTTGTATTTTATCATTCCTTTAGAATCAAACCCCACCTATTGGTCAGAAGATCAAAAACACTGCAACAGAGTGGAAGGGAGATTGGCCATTCTAGAATTTTCCTTCAGTTCCACTCCCAAGTACACTGTGCTAATGTATACCAGTATATACCTTAGCCATTTATTTTAGTGCCTCTGCTGACTGCCAATAATATCCCTGGCAAAAGAAGATTACAAAGCTGAACTTCCTATTTAAATCAATTGTTCAACAGCTTTTCTTTTGATGTATGCTTTATTAACAGTTTATAATCTTGTCAAAGCTTATACAATAATATGATCAGGCTTCTCAATTCTGTTTGCAATCTCTAGGTAAAGCCATCTTTACTCATCAAATCAAAGTTAAGTTCCAAAAGTGAAGGTGATGACCACTATTTTCTCTTCAAAAATAAACAAAAAAAGGCAAAGATTTTCAAGTGAATACGTTTAATACAAGCTGCTTAACTGTAATACAAAAGCAAAGATTTTCTTATTTTCTTATTTAAGGTTATAGTTTTCATTGTATTGAAATGACAATCTTACTGTGACCATAAAAATTCATTGTAGAATTAGAATCATGTCATTGTACATAAAAGGTAAATTTTACTACTGGAGTATATAATGAAATATTCTAAATGTTATCTGCTACTTAAGATAAATTTTAATTATGTTTAAAACATAAGGTGAAATGTGCAACTCAGACTAAATCAGTGTATAATAAAAGCCACTAGTACCTATAGATAATGAAGGTATCAGGGAAGCCGGTTGAAATGTATAATGAAGAGAGAACTAGTAAGAATATAGCAACCTGGCTGAAACTGATATTCATTAGGGTATCTTCACATCAATAGGGAGCATTTGGACTCTGTGGTCTTTATCAGTGTCCCAGCTGGTAATGGGTGAAGGTTAATGCCTTACTCCATTCTGTTCAATTTTCTATCCTAATTAGCCCTCCAAATCTATAGCTGTGAGCACCAAGTGTCTGTGCTCAAAAGAAACTAATTAATGCTAGCAAATTAGATCAAGTCCAAAGATCCAACAGCCAAACTCTTAGTTAAATGCTCCTTGTTAATAGGAAGTGTAGCTGTCAATAACTGCTGTTGGTGACTATAATGAGGCATCTTGCTTTCATTGAAAGTGATTTCATTTCTCTTTGTCCCTGGAAAAGCTGTTCCATTCCCTTCACAAACCTAAGTTGCTGGCAGTCTGACCCAATTCTTATGATCAACTGGGCTGAAATGACATGGAAGAAAAAAAAAAAAATCAAACAGAAAAGCTTTCCTACATAATCATGTTTCAGGCATTTAGCAGAAAGTCAAATCACTTATTAAAATTCCTATATCTTTATCCAAGAACTATACAATGTGTAATGTTTTTATATGAAATCCTATAATTATTTAATAAAGCAAAAGTGATTAACAGTAAATAAACTACAATGGAAGTGTCCTGATTCTAATTTACATCTTATTGTTCAGTTTAAATGTAGCTGTTGTTCTGCCACTTGAGCAATACCAATGTGTGTTCTTTCCTAACTCACATGGTTAAACAGGGAGAATACTAAGGATTATTCCTCTATAAAATAATCAATTTTAGATTCTAAAACACTGGTTTGGACCATATGGTCTTAAAAAAATCAATATATGATTATCTATAAAAATTCAAATGTTCAAAAATCAATTGTTATAACATGTTCTATTACAAATACACTGAAATAACCCAAATTTTAAGATGCTTTCAGCCTTCAGAAGATTTTAAGTATATTAATAAAAGAGAAAGTTAACCATGTCAATAGCCTAAACAACTTAATTTTGATAAAGAAGCAAAGTACTCTTTGTACTCTTTACAAAGTAGTAGTTGTGGGACACATACAAATAAATAGTTTAAGTTTATACTGTTTCTTTCATTTCAAAAACCAAAAAACAAAGCTTCACCATCTAAAAGTAAGAAAAGACAGTTCTAACACCCAAAGCCACACAATCATTCTACATTTTCATCTGAATCATGGGAGTAAAAACTCAATCTATAATTGAGTTACTTGGCTTTCCTTCATTCTAAATATCAGAAAAATGTGTTACAAAACTGCATAAATACAACTCACATTTATAACTTCAGAACATTTACTTACTAAAGTAATGTCCCTGGTAGTGAAAAGCTAATACTAACCCTGTAACTTTATTATCCATTTTTAAGTTTTTCCTCCCCCACCTGTGTCAGGATATATATATTATTTTTAAAGTTCTATGAGGTAAGTGGAGGATTAGCTCTTGAGACTATCAGCATGACACCTGCCAATGCCAGATGTGCACTAAACCCTGCCTGCAGGTGCCTATGGGTTAATTTTTCCTGACACCTGGGGGTTGGGGGTGGAAGGAAAGTGCTCTGATTAAACAACTAATTCATAGTGAAAGCAAGAGTAATAACCATAGAATGATACTAATAAATTACTGGCAATTTATTAATAAATTTATTTATAAATGGATTTAATTTAAATTTAATTTATAAATGGATTTAAACTGGAATATGTCTTAATAAGTCACTTAAGAAACAGAAATGACCATCATACAATGCCAGTTCTGAGGAACTATTCTTCTTTTCTACTGCCTCAATCTATTAATCACAAAGGAGACAGCATCAGAGGGTCAGAAATGCTCCTAGCATCCAAAATCCCAAAACTACAGTTGGCAGAAGTCTGGCTCCCTTGTAGAGAAACTTGCAGTGAAGTTTCATCACCCATGATAGGAATTATTGTGGTTCCTCAATGAAGAACACTACAAGGGAAAGTGAAGAAAGGGAGCCAGGAAAATAGTCGACGTCAGCAAAGTTTTACTACTGTTTCTGTTAGGTGACCGTTCCAAGAGGTGGGTTATTTTCAAAAGACATTTCTACAGTAATACTGCCATCTGCTTTTCTAATGACTCAACATTTACAGCCTCATTTTTCACCTTCCACTGGTTTGCTTACATTTTCCACATTAATATTAATCAACAATACATCTCTAGATGTATAGAATACAGCAGTATTCAATAAAAAACACTCTCCAAAGAAAACGTGCATATGTGAGTGCTTAGTGCATGCATTTACATAAACAGCTTCCACTTATAAACATAATACACTAAAAAAAAAAAAAGGACTCATTGTAAGTACTATAGGAATTCCATTATCAATTCAGTAATAGACAGTGACACCAAAAAAAATCATCTTAGGGTATGTACCTATATGAATACGTTGATAGATGAAAAACAGGTACATGGTTTTTTATGTTTCTTCTTTCCCTATTAAAACCACCAGAATAACTTGTTTCTCCAAAATAGTCATACTAAGACTTTCTCTATATGTAACTATACTTCTGGGAGAAAAAGTGTTTTTTACTAATAATTTGAGAGAATATTTTTAAACTGTAAATGAATTCAATATCGTCTGGAAGTTCTGAAAGCTGAAACCCTGGTATCTCAGTGAAAGGGTGAGAATAAATTCATACATATTAATTCATTGACTACTTGACTCTAAGGCTAAGGATTAAATTCAGATCACACGATAAAAAATGTATTTGATCTTTATGTGAATATTCGAATCTTACCTTGAACTTGTTCAGAACATCTCTCTCGGGCCTTTTCTCTCATTATTTTAGGGATCAAAACATCTTTTTCAACATGTCTGAGATGCTGCTCTAAAAAAAAAAAAAAGACAGAGCTTTCTTTAATATAGTAGAGTCTCAAGTAAATCACCTTGATTTACTTTTTCAGGGGTAAAATAAGTACTCGGGTTTACTTAAATAAAAGCCTATACAAATATATTAAAAACTGACTGTTTTATAATGTCATAAAATTGTGATTATTTCAGTCACTGAAAGTCACTCCAAATTATTTTTATATACAGCAGGAAAAGAAATATGAGACATAGGCAACATCCTTCTAAAAATTTCTGCATGCTATGTTGCAGCACTTTTATATGATAACATATTCCATGTAATCTTGTCAAAATTAAGTCACAGAGTAAAAGATTATAATGTTTCTTATTAATATAATCCACAAGAGGAGTTTTATCAACACTAAGATCCAAGGATAGATGATTTTTATTGATAGTGAGATCCAAGGTTAAGAGACAAGAGAATAATTTACTTAGTAATAAGAGTAGTTTAAGAAAGCCAAAACTGGCAGAAGAAAACGTGGAACTCTGTATGCATATAAAAAAAGCCTGTGAGGTTTCTGTGCATTTTAAACACAGCTACAACAATTAAACTGAAGTGGTAGACTGAGCACCTGCTCCAGAGTCCCACCTGCTTCTTAAATTCCTAGAGTCCTGAAAAACAGAGGGGAAGTACCCTGGCTGGGTGGCGCGGCTGGGTGGAGCATCGTCCATGCTCCGAAAGGTTGCCTGTTCAACTCCTGGTCAGGGAGATCAGAGTCCAGGAGGTAGTCATTTCCCCACAGTTCTTCCCCAGGGAGAAACTTCTATCAAAAGTGGGTACTGCTCCATGCTCTGGAGCAGCAAAAATGGGGAGCAAAAGACTTCCCTTGAGGAAACAAAAGCATTATTGGTTGAAATACCTGAGTAGGAGCCAAGTGAGTCACTTCTGCTGCTGCCTTCAGACCACGGGTTAAAGAACAATAGAATAACAGGTAATTCTCCCCAAACATTGACCAGGAAGGTTCCCAGTACCTCGTAACACCTAGGACGAACAGGAGCCCCTAAACTTTTCCTGGTACTATGTGGTTAACAACAACCCGTGGATGCAGGTAGCTATGGAATGATTCAGTATTCACAGAGGGTAACAGGGCATCTCAAAAAGCAAACAAAAAACAGCCAAGAATCACCTTAACTGATGAAGGACAACACAGTGAAAGGGAGAACCCAACTGTAATTAATCAAGAAGTAACCATCTCCTAGGAGAGCTTAAAGAGTAAAGAAAATACTGTTTTAAAATTCGTACAATATACAGAAGCAAATAAAACGTCCAAGGACAGAAATAGACCATAGATTACCTACATGCATTTAAATGAAATGTCTGAAACTTAAAAATCGTAAAAGCTTCAAAGGGAAAATGCATCACTCACACAGAGGAATGAGAATCAGATTACATCATGTTTCCGTGGCAAGCCATGGATGCAACAAGACAATGGAGAAATAACTTCAAAGTTCTGAGAATTACTTTATATCCAAGAATTCTAGAGCCAATGAAGCGTGAAGTTAAAGATATTTTCAGTTATGTAGGGTCTGAAAAGTTTACCTCTTTCAAACTCTACTGAAAAAGAATCTATCCCTACCGCTCTGTGACAAGCCACTAATCAAAACTCAATGATGTAAAACACTGTACAGGGATCCTATAGGGCGGGAATTCAGAAAGGAAAAGCAGAATAGACTCTTCTCGGCTTCACCATGTCTGCGCCTCATCTCAGTAGACTCAAACGACGGGTGTGGATTCCAACAGCTGCAGAAGCTGGGGCTGGACGATTTACTTCCAAGATGACTTCCTTCTTCACTTACGTATCCGACGGTGGGGCTGGAATGGCTGAAGGACAGGCCCAGTGAGGACTGTAAACCAGAGCACCTACCCATGGCCACTCCATTTGGTTTGGCTTCTCACAGCACGGCAGGCAGGTCATGAGAGGCGGCAGTTGGAGAAGGAATGGCTAGAGAGCAAGCCTTCCAAGATAAGTGAGTGAAAGCCGTATGGCCTTTTCTGACCCTGTCACCGAAGCCACGCAGCATCTTTCAAGCTACGTTATACTGATAACAAATCACTAAGGGCAGCCTATACTCCAGTGGAGGGGTATTAAGATTCCATTCTTTGTGACAAGACCACATTACAGACAGCATGAGGGATGGAAGATAATGTTGTGACCTTTGTAAAATAAAATCTGCCACGAGAAAAAAATAAATAAAATAAAATAAAAATGAATCCATGATGTACAAATGTGAAATGCATAAAGCAGAATAGAAAAACAGACATTTAAATTTACATATTGAAACTGTAAAGTACGTGAACAACATCAACTAACTTGACCTAACATTGATAAATACTCCACTGAATAACAGCTGAATATTTACCAAGATAAACCATAGGCTGGGTTATGAAACAAATCTCAAAAAATGTGAAAGAATTTATCATACGAGTTACCATATGACCCAGCAAACATACTCCTCAGGATTTATCCTAGAGAAATAAAACGTGAAGTTCACACAAAAACATATGTACAAATGTTCATTGCAGGGTTATTTGTAACAGCCAAAATAAGGAAATAATCCAAAAGTGCCTCAATTGCTGAATGGATCAACAATGGTTCATCCAGAAAATGGACTATTACTCAGCATAAAACAGAATCAACTGTTGATATACAAGAGCAGCAACTTGAATGGACTTCAAGGGCATTATGCTGAATGAAAAGAAGATAATCACAGAAGGTTACTTATTCTATGATTCCATTTACATAAGATTCTCAAAGGGACAAAATTAATGATAGAAAACAAATCACTGGTCACCAATAGTTCGAGCTGAGGTAACATGAGGGATTTTCTTTGTGGTGATATAACAGTTCTGTATGCTGACGTGATCATGGTTACCTGAATCTTCACATGTAATAAAATGTCATGTAACTACACACACACGCACACACACACACAAGTACATGTAAAAAGTGGTAAAATTAGAATAAGAGATGTACCCGAGTAAACAGTATTAAACTAAAGTCAATTCCTGGTTTCCTTAGTTACACTGAATTATAGCAGTGCGTCCCAACCTTTTTTCCTTTTTGCCCCTAAAGGAGCCTTTTCAGACATTATTTCCTAATTTCCCCCTATGAAATGTTACTATCACAGATACACTGTACATCTGTTTATGTGCTGTATATATAACAGTGCTCTATACATTAAAATAGCAAGATTTTTCTCACCCAATATCAATTTTTGCCCCTTTAAAGGCAATAACACACTCATTGAAGACATGTACTATGATTATTTAAGACAGTGTCATTAAGGAAAGCTGGAGAACAGGTACATGGAACTGCACTAATTTGCAGGTGGAAAATTAAGTTATAAAAGCAAAGGGCCTAAAATACCCAGAACAACATTAAAATAAAAGAACAAATTTGGATGACTTGATGAGAAAGTCGTACTACAAAGCTACAGCAATCGCAGTAGTGGAATATTGGTAAAATTAAGATAAGCAAATAGATTAACAAAATAGAATACAGAAATACATATATATATATATATATATACAATTTAATTTGAAAAATGCACCAAGACTAGTCAATGAAAAAACAAAAGTATTTTCAACAAAGACCTGGATAAACATGAAAAGAAAATCAACCTGAACTCTCTGACCCCCAACTTCATAGAACCCACAAAAATTAATTTGCCATAGATCATAAATAAAACTATTAAACAAAACTAAAAGGCAAGCCACAGACCAGAAGTGTTCACTATCCATACAGATATATGAACAAAGAACTTGAATCAAATATATTAAGAACACCTATATATCAATATCAAAAATACAAACAACCCAATAAAAAATAGGGGCAAAGGCTTTAATGGACACTTCAAAAAGAATACAAATTGCAAATACGTGCATGAAAAGATGTTCAAAATCATTAGTCATTAAGAAAATGCAAATGAAACCCATGATATCATTTACACCCACCAGAATGACTAAAATTAAAAACACTGAGAACACCAAATGTTAGGGAAAATGTGGAGAAACTGGAACTTTCGTATACAATTGCTGGTGGGAGTGTGAAATGATAAACTTCTTTGGAAAACTGCTTCTTATGAAGTTAAATATACACCCAACCTATTTTCCATCCCTAGGTATTCATTCACCCAAGATAAATGAAAATATATGTCCAGAAAACAATCTGTACAAGTCAGTTTAAAAATTAGAAACAAGCTAAATACCCAACTGAATGTTACTTAGGAATACCAAAAAATTAAGTACTGATACACTCAACATGGGTGAATCTCAAAAATTTTGTTCAGGCCTGGCCAGGCGTGGCTCAGCGGTTGAGCGTCGACCTAGGATCCAGGGGATCAGGGTTCAATTCCCAGCCAGGGCACATGCCCGGGTTGTGGGCTTGATCAATGACTCTCATCATTGATGTTTCTGTCTCTCTCTCTCCCTCTCCTTTCCTCTCTCTGAAATCAATAAAGATATATTTAAAAAAAAAAAAAAAATTTGTTCAGAAAAAGAAGCCAGACACAAGACTACACAATGCATGATTCAAGAACATGCAGAATTAATCTATGGTGATAAAAATTAGAACACTGGTTATCTATGGGAATTGAGAAAGGTATACTTTGAGGGATGTCTTGATTAGGGTGTTAAATCAGAAATAACAGACTTTAAAATATATACATAAATTCTGCTAAAGAGTTTTCCATTTGGTAGCATACCAATCACTACATATCAACCATTAATTAATTATGATTTTATACATATTTCAGAGCTATCTCCAACACTACAAATATTATAGATGCGGCAGTTTTATTCATAAAATTACAGTGGTTCCCTTAATGTCAATGTGATGCATGTTATCCATTTGTACAGAGACAGAAAAAAAATCAAATATTGAGTTTGCTACTGTAGTCACATGAATTTATACTGAGCCGAAGAATCAGAACAATGCCACCAGGAAAAATTTCCAAAGCTCTAACTTCTCAACATTCCATCACCACCTGAAAGTCAATTTTCACCTTTTTCACTGGCTGAACTTGTTAGCTCAGATTCTGCTGTGGGGCTCCCATGCTCCTGCAAATATGGCAGCACTAGATTACAAGGCTACTGACAACAGTACTTGCTATGAATCCACAAAGATAATGGGGAAGCAAATCAGAATACTGCGGATCTTTCACTGGGAGGAAGTGACACCTGAAGGGCAAGGTATGCCTTTACAATAATAAAAATGTTTTCATTTAGCTAACTTGATTCTTATTTAGATACTGACACTTTTCAAATTTTTAACTTCCTAGTTTCCTTGACTTGCTCCTGAAGACATTTCCAAGCTACTGTTTACTCCAGAGGAAAGAAAAACGAGAAAAATATGCAGTAAATGTACAACAGTTTTCTCACTAGCATCAGTTTTGATCTTTAGGTCCCTCTTCTCTACTTCATACCAAGAGTCTCAAAATAAAGAGCCCTAGGCAGACGGCATCTTATACAGTACAAGGCCAGAACTCTCAATCACTACCTTCACACCAGGAAGCTAGGCAGACGCCAGTTCTCCTACAAATGACAAAGATAAGGATGCTTCTGAGCAGATTTTCATGTTCTTGCCAGCTTATTCATACCTTCTTGCCTAGAGAAGGCTATAAGATAGCCTAAAATGTGAAAAGGAATGGGGTGGGCAGAGACCCTTAGGGAAAACTAAGATAGTGATCAGTGTTCCTTTCACTTCCTGTCCTTCAAGTCATACTTGAACTGACACACACACACACACAAAGCAGAAAATCAGTACTAGGAGAGATTACACCCCACACCCCCAATATTCCAGGCACCTCTGTTTATGAAACATCAACAAGAGGGCAATAAAGGGCCTATAGTCTTCATAACAGCCCTCTCCAATAAGTATTTTTATTCCATTTTGCAG